AGTTCCAATGCTTGCTTCACTGTTCCTCGTCATGTTACTGGCCTCTGAGCATCAGTTTTCCCAGCTGTTAGAAGGTGGTGATAACACCTTGTGAGCTCTTTTATTTTCTGGCTTAGAGATGATATCTGTTTGTACTCTAAAAGTGCCTGTTTCCTTCTTCCTTCTTTCTTACAAGCAGCAGCTGCTTTAGCCCTTCCAGTCTTCCCTCTACCTCCTCACATCCCCATTCAGCAGCAAAGAGCTCTGACTCCAGGCATCTGGCTACTCTGTGGGGTATCCTAGGGAAGGACCCAGTTTTCAAGACTGTGGACTTCGCTTCTCTTACCTGGCTAATTGGTTGTTCTTTATCTTAATCACTAATGTGGTTTAGATTCATTCATTCATTTGTTCAACTAATATTTATTGTGTGCCTCTATATGCTAAGTGCTGGGGAAATAGTCTCTGTCTTTAAGGAGCCCAGATTTTCGAGGAAAACACAGACAAGTCAACATATGATGGCCACAGAGCTAGCTAATGCCAAGATAGGTAATGATACAGGAAGAAATGATGCCTTGGGCATCGTTACAGGGTTCTCAGAAGAGGGGACATTTATAACGCCATCCAGGGATGAGCAGGAATTGGCCTGTAGAGATGTGGACGCAATGGAATGGGTATGAAGGCGGGTAGAAGTGAAGGCAGAGCGTATATGTGCCGCGTAGAATGGACTGGACTGGGAGAGATTGAGCGCTCTTGGTGCCACCTAGAAGATGCTGAGAGGCCGTGGAGTCTGGAAGCATTTCCCATCTGTAGATCATGCTTAAGGACGACTGGTGAGAACTGTCCTTTTGTGGGGTATTTTAAAAACTACTTTCTTGCTTTCCAGATGCCAATCTGAAGCAGCCCTAGTAAGGCATTTCTGCTGGTAGGTGGGTAGGTATCTGTCTGTAGCTGTGTGTGGTGGGTACAGGCAACAAGGTCACTTGTTCTCACAGCATGTTGTCAAGTGTGTTTTTGTTGAGGGATGTTTATTCTTGAAGTGCAGGCACTGGCACGAATGGGCTGTGACATCTTCATCCCAGATAGTTATGTATTCTCATTCCTCAAAGTTGGTCAAGCCACTGCCTAAGTGGCCCTAAATGAGACTTTAGACAGGGTTTAGGCTGGATGATGGGAGGAAGGACACCTACTGCTTGAAACAAAGCCACGGACGCCTGTCCAGACACGGGGGCAACCTAAGTGTTCTAGCTCTATGTGGGTGATTGATCTTTAAATCTGGCTGGGCCGGGGATATGGCTCAGGGACTTAAATACCTGCCTGGCAAGCACAAGGCTGTGAGTTCGATTCTTGTCATCAAAAAGAAATCTAACTTTCCTTCTTTCTCCTTTGCTTCTGTCCTCCCTGTCTACTGGACGTGGGAGATTTCATTACAGAATTTGACCTGGACTAGCTTTAGGGTGGAAGTGGCTCAGGATTTCAAGCCCTTCTTAGATGGGTGGGCAGTTCTTCTGTCTGAAATTTGTAGCCACGATCTTTTGTTTTTCCCTCCTGCACTCCATTCTTGGATCCCCTAACTGACTTTGTGATATAATACAAGGCTGCAGTGTTGGATCCCAGACTCTCTGGGTCTTAAGGTGGTCAGCAATTTCAGTCCAATTCAGTCATTCTGGTATGCCCCAAGGCTGATGTCTCTCTGTGAACCTACATTTGATACTTCTCTTCTAGAACCTTCATCTATTTCTGTGTTAGATTCTGAGTTCCCCTATTGCTTGAGGACATCTCAGAGATTACCTTACCCACTTTACCTTTGTTTTGGAAAGTGGACTGACTTGCTCTAGATCAGTAGTGATGAATTTGTTTTTCTTTTAAGACAAACTATTAATGTATAAATTATTTTTTTTCTAAATTAAAACCTCAGTATTCAGGGCTAATTGCAGTGTTGACACTTAGCAATAATAAGCAGATTTTGAGTCGCTTTTGGGCACTTGTGCATCACTGCTTTAGATCATAGAGGAGTTCGCTGATGAGAAAGCTGGTCACAATTTTTAATTCAGTATTCTTTTCATCACATGTCAAAAGCTTTATCTGCCTTCCCTGTACACAGTCCCCAAACTGGCATTAGAACTAATGCTGTGTCCTGTGCTAAGGAGTATGTAGGTATTTACCTCAGTATTTCATCATCCTTGCCTTTCAGACAGGGCCATTGACATCAGCAGCAGAAGCAGGGTGAGACTCAGAGAGAAACACACCTACAAATGGAGCTGGGTTTGCCCCGAGGCCCAAAGCTTTGTTCTCTCTTCAGGGCAACTTGACTCCAGTCTGCTGCTGTTGGGCAACTTGAGGAGTCTGGATTAGGGTCGGTTAATCCAGATTGCTATTAACACTCTGCAGAAATTCAAATGTAGTGTCTGTGTCAAGTTCAGCTACTTACGTTAGGCCTTGGGTCTAGGACCTGCCACTTGGAAACGCTTCCCCACAGTCCTGAGTGAGTCCAGTGCATGCCCTTGCTGGCTCCTGGGGAATATAATTTTTCTCAGTCAGACATCTTTCTTTTTTCCATATTTATTCTTGGCCTTTGGACTGGTTAAAGGATATTTGCTAAGTGTGAGAGGAATAATTTTAAAGTATAAAGCTCACTAATGTCATACATGAATCTCAAATTCTTTCAAGTGCCTTTCATAATGCCTTATTGAAAAGTCTTCCTGACTTGGAAGCTTGCAGATAATACAGTTAATTTCCACTTGAAGTCCTTGCTTGTACTACTAGCAGAGCTCTTGAAAAGGTATGGGTAAAATCGTGATTTCTCTATTTCCATGTATAAAATTTTTTTCAGTTTCTGAATTTATCACATCCAACTTGAAATGTTGATAGCAATGGGCTCAGTTTACTTTTGAATCTGCATTGACCAGACAGAGATTCAGCTCGTTGTCCTGAAAGCAGTCAGGTTAAGTAATCTTGCTTTGTCTTTGATTCTTGGAGGTTATAGAATTGGAATGCAGAATTTAAAGGGCTGTGATAAGGTTTGGGGAGATAGTTATTGTCTTACATTCTTAGTGTTTTGTCAGGTTTTGGGGCTCTTCATGAGTTTTGAGTCTGATGTGCTTTGTCTGTGATTGCCTGGGCGTTTGCGTCCAGCTCTACGATGTCTTCTGTTTTCTTAAAGTCACCGCCATGTATGCTACCTCTTCACATCCAGTCTTCGCTCCCCTCTTTCATGATTGCCTTTTAAAGACACCTGTCTGCTCACTTTTCTTCTTGGTGGTTAGAGCACGTGTCCAGGCAGTGCCCTAGGGCTTGGCTCCTCCTGTGTAGGAGGGAAGTCAGCCAGTGTGCTTCTCCCCAGCATGTGCCTAGGCAGCTCTGCGCTCTCCTAGCCAGCTGGTCTTTGGACTTTCACCAAGCTCTAACCCACTGTGAGCACTCCTAGGACATATCTCCTAGACTGGCTGTATATTGACTTTTTTCAAGAGAGAAGCTTCTACAACATGGGGCCAGGAGGGCACAGAGGGAGAGTGTAGCTTATTGACTCACGTGATTTCTCTGGAGTGGGACGGGGTGGCGGGTGTGTGTGTGTGTGTGTGTGTGTGTGTGTGTGTAACAACACTGCTGTGGGCCTTACACTTCCTTCCTTCTCAGAACGAAACTTATTCCATGTAGCTTTGGCAACTGCTCTGTAACTCTCCATAACAGAACACTATAAAAGGCCATTGTCATCCTAGCTAGAAAAGAGGGAATTTTCAGGTAGAAACATGCTTCGGTGGATATCGGCTTTGGACTTCTCTCTGTGGAAGTACTTCTTAAAACTCCATTTATCTCCTATCTTTCTGGCTTTATCTAGTAATGTGCTCTATGATAGTTTTCAACTTTGAGGGCTTTGCTGTGTCTCATAGTGATACTATTCTCCATGGTCTGATGGTCTGATGGTCTGATAAGCAGACTTCGTCCTTTGTTGTTAAATCAGACTCTGCATGTTGCCGTCTTTAGACAAGCTCCCTAAGGCAGCAGAGGCGACCCTACGGCGTGTGTGCCACGGCCAGCTGTTTGTTATCATGGAAAGTTCTACGAGGTTCGCCACCACGGTGCATAGTTGCACCCTTCCTTGTGCAGTAATGCAGTCATATGTGTAATTTTAAATGGTTCCGTGAGTGTTTTAACTCTCTGTACAATGTAAGCAAATACCCAGCACCAAAGGCCCAGGATGAAGAGAATCCGTCCCTGAGTCCAGCCTGGGTTACTGAGATGGAGTCCGCCGGGCTGGCTAACAGTCTCTGTCTTCAGTCTTCCCTCCTGCAGCTGCTGAGTAAATGACAAGAGAGGAAACCGTGGATACAGCTTTACCACCCTGGAGCCTTAATTTAGTAGAAAGGATTCGAGAACTAGGTGATTTTCTCCTCCTCATTTTCCCTAAAAGGTTTTTTTCCTCTCTGTTATATTGTAAGACTGATTTCTGTCTTCAAAATGTGTTCATGGAGATGAGGACTTTTCAGTGAAAGCATTACAAATCACCCACAAACATCAGGCAAGAAGCAAAGCCTCAGAAGAAGAGAGGCTGTTTCTACAAGGCTCATTTCTTACGGAGAGCAGTGCCGCCTGCCATCTTCCTGTATTTCCAATTTCAGATTGTCCTGGTCTGTTTGAAGCTTGGGTATGTGAATTCTGGATGAGCCTGTGCAGGCTTTTAAAATTCACATGGCTCGAGGAGAGGGAGCAGTGACAGCTGATTGACACGGAAATGGCTGAGGAAGCCAGACTGAGCCTGCAGCCCGATTCCAATGAAATGGCCTTCTTGCTGAGTGCCGGTATGTCACCACTGGGGCCGTATTTCAAAGTGATTTTGCAAGTATTAATTTATTGACTCCTCCCAGCATCCTGTGAAAGAGGCGAGGGAGGAAGATTAAATCCCCGTGATAGGAGAGAGGGCTGAGAGCTTTAATATTTTTGTGATTTAGCCTTGGTCCAAAGCAAGCTAGCAGCAGAGCTGGCACAAGAAACCCATTCTTCTTATGCTCTGAGGAAACAGAGCCGCGCCTGGCTGCAGACTGCAGACGGAGGGAACGTGCACCTGCAGAGCTCCAGCCCAAGGGACATCGGAGGCCCAAAGATGGGTGGAGAGCCCCCAGTCTCTGTGTCTCACCCACAATCTTCTTGCCCTTTGATTCTGTAGGTTTGAGATTTATGGGGACTTTTATTCTTGCATTGCTCTTTTAGTTTCTGGAACCCTCGATCAGGAAAGGAAACGGACATTCCCATCAGACGTTTTTCACAGCTTCCATTGTAGCTGTGATAGGCTCGGCCTAAGACACGGGGCTCAGGGAGAAGTCACTGGCTGCCTCACGGGTTGTTTTAGCTCCTGCTGACTTTGAACTCATTATGTAGCCCTGGCTGGCTTTGAACTTGGGCCAGCCTCCTGCTCAGCCTCCTGAGAGCTGGGATTACAGGTACGTGCCACCACATCTGGTGTGACTGTCTTCTTGATATCTCTTAACTTCCTAATCTTTCCATTGGCTTTTGGCTCGTGTCTTGCTGACTTGGAACGGACATATTCTACTGTATTAGAATACGGCTCGGATGAGATTTCTTGCTTTGGATTTCTTCGATGCCCTAATGCCGTGTCGTGGTTTCTTCTTGTTAGGTACACGGATTTGCTCTTTGAAATTCTGGCTCTGAGGCCTGCCTGCTTGTCTTGCTTTAAACTCCTAACTCCATCCATAGTTGTGCCTTTTGGGCCTGTCTCGCCTCTGGTCCTATGACTTGTATCTTTTGATTTTTAGTCTTGCTATGTTTTTCTATCTTACATCTGAAAATTTTTACTGACTATTTTCATGTAAGGGAAAAGTTATTTTGTAGGTTGAGAATGGGAAAAGTTATCCAGAGAGTTTGTTACTAAGGTAAGTATATAGTCCAGATCTCCTGATTTCAAGCTGAGTGGACTTTCTTTGGACTTTTAAAGACTTTTTTCATTAACAAATAAAGGGCATACAATTATCATCTGTAATATAGATACTTAAAATATATATACAATATGAAATAGCTAAATTGAGCTAATTAATGTTATTTCACATACTTAATTTTTATAGTGAAACAATTAAAATCTAATAGTGATTTTCAAGGATACAATACATTGTTATATAGTGACCACGCTGTACAACAGATCTTTTTTTTTTTTTTTTTTTTTTGTCTTTTTCCTTTTTATCGGTACCGGAGGTCGAACTCACGACTGCCTGCTTTCAAGGCAGGTGCTTATGCCACTGAGCTAAACCCCCAACCCCTATAACAGATCTTTTAAATGTAGTCTGTTTTCTAATTGAAACTGACATTTCTAATTGAAACTGACAATTCTTCAACTAACATTTCTGTTTTTTCCCCCTACTGTGACCTTATGGTGATTCTTATTTTTTGTAAATTTGTGAAAACGTTTAAGCTCCACTGAGCTTAAATATTTGGGAGCTCTTTTTTAATGGAATGGGCTCCCTGTATTCTCTTCTGTCCCTTGTTCTTCTTCACAGGTACTCAAGTTCCTAGGGAAGGAGAGGAATTTCGCACACACATGCTTTGATTTCCTAATGCCTCCAGTCAGGCCTTGGGCCATCAACAGAAGCCCTGCAGTTCCTACAAAGCGCCAGAAGGTGATCTCCCCCGGTAACCAGGACCAGAGTGGAAATGGCTGTTTGCATTGTATCTGGGAGCTAATTGTTAGCCAGAGAAAGCCACAGATTGTAAAGCTAATAAGCTTCATGGGACCCATGGTCACAAACCAGTGACACTGGATGCCAGCCAAAGTCTTTAAGGAAATGAGCTCAAATAAACTTGGATGTTAAACTGTATAGATGAGTATCAGAACTAGAAAAATTCAGAGTTGAGATTTGATCTCTATTTTGTCCAAGAGTTGATGGTCTAAATATTGAACTATTGGCCCAATTAGTGTCGTATGTGTGATGTGCAGCCAATTTACTTTCCATGGTAGATACTTTCTATTTACATATGTTTCATATCCGATTTTTCTGAGAATGGCAACTCCCAACTCTGTCATGTGGTTCCTGCCAGAGAAGCCATTTCTTTCACAAGTTCATCCTTTTGCTGTTGACCAGTACAAAGTTGGCCAGCTGATCCACACTCAACCAAAGCAGCCTGCCACCTTGACCATAACTGACTGGCCTAAGTTTGAGAGTCTGACTGAATCTGGGCCGTAAAGTTCCATCTTCATGTAGTTCGGAAGGGATCAGAGGAGGCAACAAGCTGGTCTCTGAGGGCTACAGCCTTCAAAGCAATAACTCTGGGAAAACCGACCATGCCTTCCTTCAGACAGGTCCACACTGAGGGAGAGGAATGCCGCAGACACAGGAGAATCCTGGTGGTGCACTGTGTATCCATGCAGTGAGTGACTAGTAAGATCCAAATAGGTCTGTAGTTCTGACTTCTGTTCCAGGGGATAGACATTTCCATCCATGTCTCCATCTTCCTCTCCTTTTGGATTGAGTTTTTGTCACTTGGAACCAAAATAGTCCTCATTAACCCACTTATTTTATTTTATTATCTGAATGATGGTTGTGGATGACCCAGGATGTGGAGATGACCAGTTTGTTTAGTTGTATTGATTGTTTTGCAGACCAGCTCAAGGGTTTGCATTACAATAATGCTCTCAGTTCTATGTTGGCTAATTTCATTCTTAGAGCATTGTTTTGCAAGAGTTCAGTTACATTTTTCTAACTAACTTTAGCTCTGGCCTGGTCTCTTCAAGGAGGATCTGATAATAGATACAGTGGCGTAGCACAGACTTGAAAACCTCCAAGCCACAAAATAATGTCCTTTACAAATCTCTGGACTGGGAAACATGCTCAGAGCTTCGTGGTCCAGTTTTCTTTCTGCTATTCCTATCTGATTGTGTCTGTTTTCTGAATTGTCCACTTGACCTTCCGCTGTGGCTCTTATTCAGTGCCATCTCCATTGTGATTGTAATTTATTTGGAACTTTTGCCATTTTAATTACACTTACATGTTAGGTTTCCAGTTTTCTTCTTGGTTTCTGGGTCCTGGTTCAAATGAGGCCTTGCTGAATTTTGACTTGGATATATCTTTGATAAAAAGAAGGCATTTAAAAACATATGGTTGGATCAATTAAACTTGTTCATCGCTGCTATTAATTGCAGGTTAATGATACCATTTTTCTTATATCAGTATTCGTGTTTAGTATTCGTATTACATTCGTATTCATGTTCAGAAGACTTCAAATTGCTATAAAGTCTTCTAGGCAAAAAATAGAAATAGCAGGCTAGATAAGAACCTTCTTTCCCCACGTCTTCTGATTGTATGTAAAATTCCTCTTTCGATGCACGTTATCCAAATCATATTTTCTTTTCTTTCTGCTCAGTTTCAATGTATTAATATCAGCTTGAAGAGAAAGAATAAGAGAAAATAATGTTTTTTAAAAAGCACAAGTGATACTCTGCCAATGATTTTATTGCATATAACTCAAACATTGCTTTGAATAGCAAACTATTCCTAACACAAGCATATTTTACTCAGTGCAGTTCCCATTTGGTTTTAGAAAGTATTAGCGCTTGAATGAACACTGAATGGCTGTTCTGCAAAATGAAAATAAGTAGCTAATCACTTCTGGATTATGTCTAACAACTCTTGGCTATTACTGCTGAAAACTACCACTGGGATGGAAGAGCTGCAGTATAATGAGACGGCTGCACAACTCAGTGAAGACCCAATTGTTGTTGGCTTTAAGTGCTCAGTAAGTGGAGCTGAGTAAGTAAAGATGGCAAGCCCAGCACGTGTCATTAATATGTAGCTCAAGTTAGACACACGCGTGTGCAAGAACCCTTGCTCAAGGCCCATGCCCCGAGCATACTCACGTGCCTTCCCAGAGTGGACTCCGGGTTTTAGCAGATTGCTGAATGCTCCAGGACTGTGTGGGCGTTTTCTAGACAAGCTACTTACCTTGTCACGTGCTCATTTTCAAGTGGTGGTGTTTATCGTAATTCAACGTGAAAGCTGCTCTTATTTTCAAAGGGTCAAAACTGAAATGGTGCTGGGAGGAGACAGAGAAGGGTTAGGGAGCTGTAGTGGTTCCAAGGACTTCTCCATGATTTACCTGCTTTTATGGTGACTTTGCCCTTGAATTATGAGTAAAGGTTAATACTACATAAGGCATAAGATCTCAGATTTATTTTTTTAATTTAATTTTAAACAGAAAAAACAACAGTTTCAAAGCAGGTTAGTAGTAGAGTGGTAATAATTAATACACAGCATATTGTCTTAGTAGTAGTTATTCAGAGTACAGGATACAGGCATGAGATATATATAGCTATATATTATTATTATTATTATTATTTTTTAACCAGGGATTGAACTCATCACTTCACATTTGCAGCACTTGTGCTGCTGAGCTAATCCCTGGCTAGGTGTAATATCTGTCCAAACAATATTATCACAAACCTTTCTTTTTAATGAACTAAGAGAAACTAACTGCAAAGGAAATATTACAAAGAATCAACAAATGGGAACTCACCTTATTAAAAATTTTTGCACAACAAAAGAAGCAACCCACAGAGTAGGAACATATAGCCTGTTGCCCCTCAGACAAAGGATTTATATCTAGAACATATAAAGAACAGAAAAAAAATCAGCATATCTCCAGCTCTGTAATTCATTTCTAATTTCATTTTTTGATTTATTTAAATTCAAAGACCCAAACCAAGAATGGACATCTGAATATGAACATATGTGCTTCTCAGATGAAGAATTAAAAATGACAAATAAATGCATGAAAAGACATTCAATATCACTAGTCATTTGAGAGATGCAAATTAAAATAATATTGAGATTCCATCTCACCCCAAAAAGAATGGCTGCCATCATCAAGAAACTAACAGATAATAAGTTCTGATTCATTTTTTATTAAATTTTCATTGGCACATATTTGCAGTACATAATGATTGCAGTCTTCCTGGCGAGGTGGCATGCAACACATATTAATTCTTTTCATCTTCTTCCCCCACTCCTCCTCTCTCCCAGTGTCTCTTGGCCCCTTTCTTTTTTGCAAAAGATCTAGTTCCCTGTTTCTTATAATCTGTCCTTTATTTTGCCTTTACTTATACTCTGGATTTCTTTTATAAGGAATATTAAGTTCATGTGTGTGATTTACTTCACTTAATGTTGTGGTCTCAGGGTGTATGCATTTTCCTACAAATGACTCAAGTTTATCCTTCTTAATGACAGAGGAGTTGTCCACTGTGTATAAGTACCATGTTGTCTTTATCCATTCATCTGTTGATGGATATATGAGTTGCTTCCAACCTGAAGCTATTATAAAGTTCACTACTATAAACATGGCTATGCATGCATCACTGTAATATGATGCTTTTAAATCTTTGAGGAAGTATCTAGAAGGGGAATATCTGGGTCAGATAGAATTTCTAATTTTAGAGTTTTGAGGAATTTCTATACTGATTTCCATAGTGCTTGTACTAGTTTATATTTCCACCAACAATGTAGAAATATTTCTCTTTTCTCATAGTCTCGTATAGCCATTCTTTCTGTAGTGAGATAGAAAACTCAGTGTTGTTTTAAGTTGTATTTCTAATAGTCAGAAATGTTGATCATTTTTCACGGATTGTGGCTATCTGTGTTTCTTTTGTCTACTCACCTCAGTTACAGTGTCTCATTATGCAACTTAGGCTGGTCTTGAACTTCTGTGTGATGTAGGCTAGCCTCAAACCTGTGATCACCTGCCTCAGTCTCTGAAGTGCTAATATTCAGGTGTGGGCTACCACCCCAGTTTAAGATCTGTGATTCTTTTGATTTCAATTGATAATCTCTCACTCTGTCTTATCAGAGTTTCCATGATTCTCCAATGAAATACTTCAAAAATCACCAACTCATACATTTGTTAAATATTAGGAAGTCTAGAAAAACTATATTGTTTTATTTTTTCTAATATATATCTTCAACATAAGATTTTAAAGTTTTTCTCTTTAAGCATGTAAAATTATAAATTTGCTTATATTATTGCTGCACATTCTATAGGTGTCAATGTCTTATTTAATTTTTAAATCAATTTTTTTTCATAATATTTCTTCTTTGACTCATACTTCATGTGTAAATATTACTTAATATAGCAGAGTTTTAAAATTCTAACCAAAAGTCATTAGATTCAAAACCTAATTTTAGGCTTTATATCTGTGTTCCAGCTCTAAAATTTTAAATTTCAATGGTTATTTTTAAACTTAAAAAGTTGTATTTGTTTCTACTTAAAATTTGGTTATTTTGGTAGTCTCTACTCATTTGCTTTTGTTTAGCATATGTAGTTTTCTGTGTTGGTGCAGGAAATTGAATCCAGAGTGTTAAGCAAGCACTCTACCACTGAGCGCATCTCCAGCTCTGTAATTCACTTCTAATTCCATTTTTTGATTTATTTAAATATTTTTAGAGTTACTTTATATTCTCACTCAGACAATGCCAAATACCAGAAGTCCTTGGAGAGGTAGTAATGGTACTGAAAATTATTTTTGTTTTTTGCTTGTGTCTTTTGCTCATGGTGTTTTTTATTTGCTTAAAAATTAAGATTTATTAAAGAGTGTCCATGGGAAGCCTTAGGACTAGTTTTCAATGACTTTACCCAGATGTAAATGATTTTGTGTTATGTACCTTAGAGTATAACCACCAAGCGCATGCTTTGATTAGGGATTTTTTTTGCCTATATTCAAAAGTGAATACACTTGTGATTGTGGATTGTAGATTGTTAAGGGTGGCTATCATCAATGATAGTATCATATTTTATTCACACAATTGCAGGAAGGAGGGATTAGGGAGGAATCAAGGGGGGAGGGGAGGAGAGAAGAGGAGGGTAGAATGTACAGAAAGAAAGGATGGAAGAATGAAAGGAGAAAGGCGTGAGGGAGTCGAGGAAGAGGGAGAGAAGGAGAGATTACTCTCCGGATCAGCCTTCTTTCTAGCTCATTCTTTCAGGAATGTTGAAATCTTGATTTTTTTTTTTTTTTGGCAGTGCACTGGAAACTGTTCATTATTCCGAGAATATTGTTCAGTGCATGTGATAAAACACCCAGAATTATAAATTTCTGCATTTACTGTGTATTGAAATACAGTTATCAAAATACTAAAATCCAAATGTGTGATGTATCGGGGTGTCTCTACTTTATTCATACATTAAATTAGATTTAATGACTTTCCAATAACTGTCACAATTGAAAAACAGCAATAATAAGCAGGGTCATCCTTTTAAGATATCTATTACACCTACTGTGATATGGAATATCTGTGTTTTTTCTTTAAGGCAAAAGTTATTTTTCCAACTTTTATGATTTGTTGCTTACATTTTGTAATTAAAAATTTTTTAACTAGAGAAAGATGAGAATACATTGTTTTCCTATTAAAATCTATAGATCCTTTGAATTCTACCTGAGTGTTCACAGACAGCAGGTTAGGAATCCCTGGGAATCTCTTGTTACCTTTCTGGTACTCTCAGAAATCCTGGACTCAGCCCTGGCACTCCCGGTCACTGTGGGCTTCTGCCTTACAGGTCCCTCTGTGGTTTAGAGTTCATGTTTCTTTCCTTCTCCTTTAGTAAGAATTCTCTTGCTTTCTTAGAAATCAACAGGGAAAAAAAAAGAAAAAAGAAATCAACAGTATATTTCAAAGTTTGCTTTCATTGCTTATACTATGGCTGCTTGAAGCAGGAGGTCTCCTTCCATGACAGGTCTCCATGCTACTAACAGTGAATTGTGTTTCCCCTTTTATCAGAGGTTCTTAAAGGGCACATACCTTTTCTTCCTGTTACACTCACAACAGTTTACATGGGTGTCTGTGTGTCACAGGGAGCCAGGCAGTATTTGTCGCCTGGGTAAGGAAATGAATGTATGCTCAGAGCCTCAGGACTGCCTTCGACTTCCCGCCTGCCTCCAGGGTTAGCTCCGTGAACTATTAAAAGAATTTTACAGTTTCAAGGTTTTAAGAAGCTCCTCTGAGAATACAGTGTAATCTTTGTTCACAGTGAATATTCTATCTGCAGATCTATATATAGAAATAATGAGTGAAATATATACTGGGAATGGCGATAGATAGATTTATTTAGCTACAGAGAGCCAGAGGGATAGAATAGGCCTGTTACAAAACTGAAGAAAGATAGTGCCATTTTCTACTCCTAATTAGTCTAATGAAATAACTTTAAAAGAGAAACATTTTGCAAGACCTTCTCTCAAACACTCACCTTTAGTGCTACACTTTCATCAGAAGATGGATTAGTTTTCGTTTTTGTTTAATATCTTAACCTCAAGGGCAAAATCTGCCAGGCTGCTCACTACTGTGGCTTCCTCAAGCCGCTGCCAAACCGAAGATGACTGACTGCAAGTCAAGCTTTGGGAGGACGTTAGTACAAGTGTAAGATTGGCTGTCATTATTTCAGGCTACTATTAAGACTAAGAAGGTTTAAAGAACCACCCAGAAGTGTAATTGGCATTTTCTGTTATGAAAGTTAAAAACTGGGTCCTTCCTCTGTTTAGTTCCCTGTTACTAGTCTTTCCTATCAAGCGTGTTGCTCTGTTACTCCTCTGTCGTTTGTTAAGAACAAATTATATATTACTTTGAGCACTTCATTCACCTTTTGTCTACCAAAATGGGGTGCAAAATCAGAAAAGGACGTTCTGTTCAGTATGTGAAGTGCTGTAGAATACCGAGTCTCTATACAAGGGAGGAAAGTGGAGAGCAGCGCACAGATGAAAGAGCCACAGCAAAGCTGTTTCAGACCTGTGACTCAAGCCTAGCGCACTCGAGCACGCACGCGGACACCCGCTTTGGAGGGGACAGTGGGTGCTTCATACATCCCTCCTCCAACAATCAGAAAAACCTTTCCTTCACTGCCACGTACCGAGGGCCCTCCCAGCTGCGGGAGTTATTCAGGTAATGTTCAGGATAAAAATGCGGAAAGGCCAGGAGCTGGCTGGCAGGACTGTTTCCTGGTTTTGTTCTTTTGTTTTTGCTGCATTTCCCTGAATTGAGTTTTGGGAGACGCTTAATGACTAGAAAGTGAGCACGGTTAGCGGGCATTTATTTTAGGAATTGTAAATCTCTCAAAGATGCATTGAAGTTCTAAACTCTAGTGTGTGTGATTGTCATCTTATTTAGAAATAGCATCTTTGAAAATATAATCGAGTAAGTTGAAGTCATACTGAACAGGGTGGCCCTAATTCAGTGACTGGTATATTTTTTAAAAAATTTTATTTAAATAAAGACTAAACAAAACAGAAAACAGGTAGAAATAATACATACTTTCAAAGAAAAAAATAAACAGAAATCACTAGTTGATGATTACAGATTGTCCTCTTACAAATAGTTATTCGAGATACTAAAGTGGAACATATAAAGTGGGGATTCAAACAGTGAGATTGCAACCAGTTCTGTTCAATTATCCAGTTCTGTTCAACTAAGAAATATGGTTATCAATCCTATATACTTAAACATACATCCTGTTATCCATATCTTCAGTTATGTTGATATTGAACAAACCCAAGCAGGCTAATATCACTCTGAACAAAGGTTTCACATTATGACACTCCAGGATCAGCACTGGGTACTTTAGTGTCTCTTTTTCTTCAAAGTATTTGTTCATTTCATCGTGTGTCATAAGATCAGTTCTCATAAAGTGTTTGTAGATTTTACACATGCATGAGTCTTAACATGCATTTCTATCCTTTCTATATTAGAAGGAGAAACAAAACAAAACAAAACAAGGCAAAACAAAACATATTCCTATAAACACATGAAACGAAAAAGACATATAAGACCATTGTACAGGGAGTTCTACTGTAGTTCCTGTGTTGTCTCTTGTTATCTGAAAGAGTTTTGGCCCAGACAAGACACTGTAGCTGGTAAAGCCTCAGCTGGAACCAAGGAGCTCCATCTCCCCCACCCCTAGGAATTTACCTGTGGCTCTATCTTCCCCGCCCCTAGGAATTTGCCCTTGGTGCCAAAAGAATGCCAATGGACTACCCGTGCATCCCTAATGCCCCTCAGGCTCCACCCCAAACCTAAGCTACATGTATGCCCCCACTCCATGTGTTCCATGGAAAGATCGCTGACCCCAGGGGGGGGGGAGATGCCGTGCCCCAAGGGATCGGGGGTGTTTCTCCCCACATTCTCAAAATAAAGGTCATTTATATTTCATACCTCTTATCTTTTCAGACACCACTGCCGGTCCCCCACAGTTCTATCATATGGTTCTCTGACTGGGAATGGCAGATGAGAGACTCCTGGGCCCTCCCAGTTTAAGTCCCCTGCCATTCAGGACCAAGACTGGACTGCATCCTGCATTAATTCCTCACTTCTACACTCGGGAGCTGTAAACTTGTCCTGCTGGTTCACAAACAACACCGACCCAATTTACCACAGGTGAGCAAACCCCCGGAGATTGCTGCTGGGCCAGGCCCCAGGTGGGTTTTCTCCCCCTTTCCGTGGGTTTGTGTGACACTCTCACGTCCTTAGATAGCCCAAGGCAGAGTCTTTCTGGGCCAACCTGTGTCCACACTGGGAGATTCTCACATCCTTTGGGTTTGGTTAGCCCAAGGCAGAGTTTTCCTGGGCCAGCCTGCATCCACACTGAGAGACTCTCACGTCCTTCAGAGTTTTTTAAGTTCTCATGGGCAGAGCTGTTACTAAACCCATGTGAAATCCACTTGTATGTTGGTGACAGGCAATTATTACGAGCTTTGGAACCATATAACACCGATCGGTCTAGCGTAAAAAGTGACGACTTACACTTAGTAGACCACGGTCCGTTACCTCATCTGGCTATAACTCCATGGGCCAGACCCCACACCAGATTTTATCTTGGGGACCACTTCCTGTCCCCCCGCAAAAAACCATATCTATCTATGGCTTATCACCCTGACGACGAGTTTGCAAAACTCTATCTTTAAGCCTTTGTTTTGAGAATGTGCCCTTTCCCGCCAGCATTCCTGTCCCCTCTGTTTCCTTGCCACTTTAACTTTCCCGCTGTGCACCAACCCATTCCCCGCCGAGATGGGGGAAGTGAGCCCAAACAGTGTTGGGAGATACTGCTGCTTTAAGCTGTCACGCCAGGCCCCAACTCCGTGCGGTATCTCGGCTCTCATACCGCGCTCCGGGTTCAGGTGGGTTCGGCTCTAACGCCACGCCCTAATCTGTGCATCTCGTGTGGAGCAGTTCCAGCTCCACAAGGTGGATCAGCTCTGTGTCGGTCCGTTGGTCCGCCAGTGTGTAAGGTTCCAGCTTCACGCTCTGTCCCAACTCTGCCTCCCAGCCCCCCACCCCCGTGAGCCGCTGCCCCTGCCACCGTGAGCCCGCTGCCGCCTTGCACACGTTTCCGGGGGACAGTCCCAGCCCGCCCCACAGGCTACATCCTGGTGCTTGCCCACCTTCACTCTGTGTGCCCCGCCCCCGTGCTGGGCGTGCTCTGCCTGCGTGCCGGACCACAAACACAAACAGCAGTTTGGCGGCTCGGCTCAGAGATGCTATTTTTTTTTAACATTCTCAAAACATTTAATCAAGGTTAAATAAGCCAGCAATAGTAAGACTTTGGCTGATATATGAGAAAGTGGCCACCTGGTAATTTTACCAGCCTTGTTTATCAATTAAAGCCTTCAGTAATCTCCTGTTTAACAACTAAAATTAAGATTTATAAATTCTTTTTGCTATAAAACACCAGTAAGCTTACTGCCTATATTATACTGTTTTGTCACAGATCTTAAAAAAATAATTATAAATTCCTTTTGCTGGGAACCATTAGCTCTTTTCTAAAACAAGGGTTATATGATACATGCAAAACAGCAAAACCAACACTGCGGCAGAAGCCAAACTTAAACCTTTCCCAGCCTGTCTGCCTCCCCGGCTCAGCCCTCCACCGAGCCATAATTAACTATATTCAACTGATATTAAATAACACTGAAGCTGATTTCTGTCATAAATAAAAAGATAAAAAAATTAATTAAACAGGCCATCCTCTAAAAATCAGATGGCATTAGACATTTTAATAACATAAAGAGATACTTATATATATGACATAAATAACATGTCAGTTCCTAAAATTCTCTGGATCTGTCCTCCTTATGAGAAGCCATTACTAAAATTATAAGTACCCTGTTGATTATATTTGACGCCTGCATACTTACCTAATTCTACAGATACCTTTTACTGCAGTCCAGATCCTAAACAAAAAGGCAAAACTTGACCTTCAAACCTCATAGAGACCTTAATATGGTTTTTCATGTTTTCAACAACAGAGATAACACTTGTGCCACTTGGAGTTCTGAGACAGGTAAACCGACACAAGGTGGAGCTGCCTGGGCCCCCCATGGACCATGCGTCAAATGCAGCAGAAGGACATTGGGCAAGAGAGTGCCCCATCCTGACGTTCCTTTGGGAGCCTGCCCCAGGGCTACTGGACTGTCCTAGCCACCAGAGAGTGGGTAAGCCATCCTAACTTCCAGCCCTCACAGGAAATGCCAACACTGCCAGATTCATTGCTGACAGATCTGCTTAAACTTGCTGCCGAAGACTGACAGGGCTCAGGGCCAACAGCAGCCCCCTTAAGGTGTCTGTCTCAGGGTCCCAAGTCCCACTAACAGTTTCAGGTAAGACATTCTCTATTATTTGTGGACATAGAGGCCATATATACAGAGTTCTTCCTGAGTTTTCAGGCTGCTATAGTAAGTTCTCAATCTCTAGGGGCTATTGATGGTCAACCTATGCCATTTACAAACAGGGCCTATTTCGTGCAGGTTCCAGACTGCTTCTTCCCAGTCCACCCAGTGGTGCCAGACCTTCCCTCCACCACTCACTCTACTGTCCTAACTCTTAAAAATGGTTTTTATTCCTTTGTGTTTATACAGACTGACTCAGACACTGAGGCCTCAACATCTTGTTATCGCTAGTAAACCTCTCCTCAGTGATACAGACCACCCCTTCCTTTCTTATTCACCAGTTTCTCAGACAACCCTGGTCAAGACTGACAGATAAATTTTGTCTTCTCACTTTGTTCATACTTTTTCAGGATACATAAAAGCCTTTCACACAACCAGTGAGACTGCTGATATACTTACTAAAGTCCTGTTACAGCAAATCATTCCAAAGATGACAACCAGGTTACAGTGACCCATACCTGATATTCTTGGCAACCTCAACAGTAATCAAAGTTGCTAGACTGCCATCCTGGTTTCACATCACTCAGGCTAAGTGGTGCCCTTCCAGCCTTAGATCTAACCGTCCTGTTGCCTACTCATCTCTGCCTTACAAAGGCCCCAAAGCCACAACTCTCAGGCTGTCATGTTCTGTTATTCAATTTGGTTTCTAATTTCTTATCATTTTTACAGCAGGACTCTTGACAGTCTTTCCTAAAGACTCCCACATCATGCATAAGATCATCTTCATAATGTTCTATGTGACAACTCTCTTAGTCCTTTCTACCCTCAGCTGTTTGGTTAAACATGACATCCCTGAAAGCCTAGGCCCTTACCTTCCCTATACTGGCACAGCCACCGCCTTCCCAGCTCCCCCTATTTTTTCCAGTTCAACGCCTGGACCAGAGACAAGTTTTATCCACCTACCCTCTTAACTTTTACCCTTTCAGATGGGGGAGTAATCACCTCTCACAACTTCACTCCTCCTAACCCCACATTTAATTTTCAGAATTCTGCCTTACCATGGAAATATTCCTACCTCAACGTGGTCCTGATATAATGACATGTATAAATCAAAGGCACCTTTCCTTCTACCTCACCTGAGTCCTTAAATATGACAGTGCCGTGCCTCCTCATAACATCTTGTCTCTTTGTTTTTCCAGTCTAACATACGTGCATTCACCAGTGATAAAGTTGTCCTGCCTAGAACACCTGGCACCAGCTTCTACCTGGGCATCAACCGGCATCCCCTCGACTCCCCTAGACCCCAGTACAGCGCCCCCTGCCAGTAGGAAGCAGTAAAGAAAGAAATCTTTGCTCCTTTTCATAATAATCATAAGACGGATATGAAAGAGTTTTGGCCCAGACAAGACAATATAATTGGTAAAGCCTGGGGGTGGAACCAAGGAGCTCCATCTCCCCCACCCCTAGGAATTTACCTGTGGCTCTATCTTCCCCACCCCTAGGAATGTGCCCCTGGCACCAAAAGAATACCAGTGGGCTACCCGTGCATCCCTAATGCCCCTCAGGCACCACCCCCAACCTAAGCTGCAGGTATGCCTCCACTCCACATGTTCCATGGAAAGATTGATGACCCTGGGGGGAGATGTTGTGCCCCAGGGGGTTGGGGGTGTCTCTCCCCGCATTCTCAAAATAAAGGTCATTTATATTTCATACTTCTATCTTTTCAGCCACCGCCATTCCCCCACACTTCTGTCATGATCTTCAATATAATTGGCTGTATCATCAGACATAGTATAATTGAATATATCAATACATGACAGTATTAATAAAAACACAACTTTGTACATAGTATAAAACTTCAAAAGCAAGCAGTTATCAAACCAGAATGTGTTTCACAGAGTCTTGTCATCTTCAGTGTAGTTGCCTATACTCTCAGACTTGATACTATCAGTCATATCAGTTTTCAATAAAATCTGTCAATACCAAACAGCAATCAAACAAACCAGATTTAACTAAGATCAGTCGTGATAAAACGGTATAAGTCATACAGGGCTCCAGATTAAGTTAATAGGAAATTAAAGATGATTACTGTGCTATATCCTGATGTTTTGGGGATGGCTGTCTGTGCCCTCAAATCTAATGCAAGTAGACAAACTGGGACAGAATAAAATCTATCTATGGAGAACAGTGCGAGTAATGTGGGTTTTAAATCCTGATGCACTATTAACAATATCTTCTGCCCTCTTTTTTAAGACTCTCCCTCCCTTTTCTCTTCCCCAGGGTACACTGTGCATTTTTGGGTCTGACCAAGACCCTTGTTTTTAAATTGGTGGAGGGGGCAACCTGCTATTTACCTAAGTGGTTCTGAACCTTCTCTCTCCTGGACTTGATCTCTAATTGTCTTCCTTTACATATTAAACTCTGTCTTTCCAACCTATCCACAGATACTGGTCTAGATTCCCCTATTCTCTCTGGTTCTCTGAGTGACAGGTACTCTTATTAGACAGGGAAGTTTAAACACAGAAACACACCCGGGGAGAACACCACGTGAAGCCAGGGGTGGAGATTAGAGCAATATAGCTAACAAACCAAAGAATGCTAAGTTTGCCTGCAGCCCCCAGCACTGGGAGGTAGGCGTGAATGGTTCCTCTTTAAGGCCCTCAGAGTGAGAGCCAAGCCTGCTCATCTGATTTCTGCTCTGCAGACCTGTGTGAGAATTACTGTCCATCATTCTAAGTCTGTGATGCTGTATTTTGTTACTGCAGCCCTAAGAAGCTAGCAGTATAATTCACCAATGAAGTGCTTTCTGGTTTCAATTTTTAAAAGAATAAATCTTGTATTGTTCTCCATATTGGTTTGTTTGTTTGGTCTGAATCTCAGAAATCCAACTCCTATGTGATGAAGCTCATCCTGTGTTTTGGGGTTGTAGCTATATTCGTTTTCTTTGTCTTTTAAAAAACCATTAAAAGCACGCTTTCAAAAAACAGCACAATTTTTATTTATAAGTTATTATATGTTTGCTGCACATAATGATTACATTCTTCATGAAGAATTAGCATATGTACATAATGCGTCTATTTATTAGTACATGTTTATCAAACATAATTATTATATTCATTGTGGATACACATACATGACATGTCTTAATTATTTTTTAAGACCTCCCCCCTCCCACTCCTTCCTCTCTTAGCGCATCTTAATTCTTTTTAGTTCCCCTTTGCAGAAGATCCCTCTCCCTCTTTCCTATTGTTTATCCTGTTTTAAAAAACGGCATTCTTCCTATCCTGATGAATCACATCCCACCCCGTGGCTTCTGGTGCCCCTCCTCTGAGAGCACTGTCAGTGCATTTGCAAACTCTTTGCACGGTGCCATGCACAAAATACCACATCTTCATAAGGATAATGTGTGGGAAAAATGAATTTAGAAAAATCAAGTCTTGTAGGGTCTCAAGTGTCGTTAAACAAAAACAGTGAGCACACACGATGAGTTTCTGAGAGGTGTTTTGGGTGCTTCCTGTGTGGACCTGGGGTCTTAGGCATCAGTTGCTGTGAGAAGCCCTTCCCACGCAGGGGTTGTGTGTCCCATCAGACCCTTGGCTCGCTCCTTCCCAGGCACCTCCTGCAAGTGCGATGGTCTTTCATTCTGCTTTCTCCGGCTTTTCTCTGTGTGGCTTGCGAGACTGTCCGGGTCCCATTTGCATTCCACATGTGTATGCCTTGTTTTCCTCATCCTGCCTGGCAAGGAGCAGACTCAGCCTCGGAACAATGAATCTACCCTTGAGAGCCTGGAATTCGAGCAGGCACAGCTTCTCAGAGCAACCCTGACAAATGACAATAGCTTTCTCTGAGCCCACACTTGGTTAATGCTGCTGTTAAGGAGAAATGCTGGCTTGCTCTGTGGGCACTTAGACTGCCGTAAAAATAAAGCCATCTACATAAAACAAGGATTATCCTGAGATTAGCCCCTCCAGCTGGGAAGGAAGTACAAGAGAGAAGAGCTAAACATTTACAGATATGTTGAGGATGTGGAGCTGTTTTGCAATCTCTGGTTAAGCTCTTCTACCCACATCTCTGTGTAGCAGGGCCTGCAGTTAGCTGTGGATGCTGTGGCTTTAAACTAGAGATGGAGAAGCAAATCTAAGCTACTCTGTATTTCAGCTGATTTGTCAGGCACTGCCGGCGGCTGTGAATTAATCCAATCCCCGGACGCCACTATATTTGTTGTCCAGGATTACTGGCTGTGGCTGTTCTGGGAGCGGGCCTGTCCGGGTGATAATTAGTTATTTTTGAGAGGTGGCTTTCTCACAGGAGTCCATCCGTCCCTCTGGCAGCACAGGCCTGTCCACCAGCTGCCGTGGCTGCCAAGGCACTTTGGCAGCCTGAACTGCAGGCTGAGAGTGGTTTTCTCTGCTCCCACTAATCCCCTTCCCCTACCCTGCTGTGTGCATTTCCATGATAAATCAGCCAGGAAAGGTTTGCAGTGCATTTTGACAGGATGAAACTGTGTGCTTCAGCTTGATCTCCTTAAGAGCTCTGTAGCCAAATCTTCTGCGGCATGGAAGGCAAGGCAAGTTTGCAAGCTCTTCAGGGCTGTCCCCCTTGCTGTCTGAGAGAGACCTAACTGATACTCTGCTGAGCCTTTTTTGTCCTTGACCTAAAGGAGGGAGTGCTATGTACTGCATGTTTTCATTTGTAAAGTTCCTGTGTTATTTCAGGGGAGGCATCTGCATGAGGCTGCCCTCCCAGGCTTCTAAAGGTTTCCCTCCTGCCCTTCATTCCTGCCTTGACTTCTTCTCTCTTCCTTTCCTTTCCTTTCCCTTCTCTTCTCTTCCTTTCCCCTCCTTTTCCTTTCCTCTCCTTCCCTCCCTCTCTCATGTGCAAGCTAAGCTGGCAGGCAGTGTGGAGCAAGGCAGATGTCCACTCTCTCCAGTAGCTGGTGATGTGGTGGGGAGGAGAGAGGCAGACAAATGATTACGCACACAGTGTGTGCAGTGCAGAGGCGCAGCGAATCTTCACAGGTTTCAATGAGAAGGGCTCCGAACTCCGGCTGGGAGAGGCGGTGAGGACCAGACTGTCTTCCTGGCCCAAGTTATGCCGAGACTGATTTGAGGGGTGTACGGGGTGAACACGGTGGATCTGGGGTGGTGGAGGTGGCAAGTTTTAAGCAGAAAGGGCACAAACAAAGGCCTTCGAGTCAATCTGCCATCTCCAATCTCAAATTTTACTCATGTATTATGAGTCTCATGTTTTTGTCTTTTGTGTTTTCTCTTTCCTGGTGTGTGTTAACTGAATGTCTCACCTTGGCATGCCCTGACTGTGTGATTTCATTGCCTGAGCCAGGTTCTACCAACCTGGTTAAAGCATTTTACCATCTTTAGCTCCCTCCTTCATTTTGGATTTAATACTCTTTACATTGTTATGGAGATTTTATATGGATTATACAACCCGTTAAAAAAATAAAAACACATTTCTTTGGAAACAAAATGGCAGTGCTTATCATCCTGGCTGATAGGAAATTTGAGGTTGGGTTTATGTATTTTCTTTTTATTCTCACAGCCTGTCACAAAGGAGCTCAGTGTGTAATGGTTAGAGACTAATAATCATCCTCTTATTCATTCATAAGAATTCTATCCCCTCAAAGAGCAGAAAACAATAGTACCCACTCCATTTTAATTAAAATTCAACAGCAAGAAGGCCTCTATAGGGCTAGAGGGATAGGTGATCCTCTGATAGGTGTGATAGGGGAGCTGTATACAGAGTGTGAGAGCCCAGTAGATGCCAGAACCTTGAATACAGGTGCCGCAGTGGGAACATCAGAGCGGGAAAACCATGGAGTCGGGTTGGTGTTTAGTTTGTCCACAGTGGTTTATGTTTAGGACTCTGCCTTGGTGTGATGGGCAGATACTTCGATTCTGCATATGAGAGGGGATGGAATGCTTTTTTCCCAGGCAATTAAGTTAAAAAAAAAAAAAAGAGTGGAGTTCTTTGGCTTTTCTGAAATGCCAGAAAAGATTATGAAATCCCTAAAGATCAGAAAACAACCAGTGTGGCAAATGCTGTCTCATTCCTTAGGATGGGTACTCAAGTATTTTGTGTCTCTAAAAGTGTTTGTCCTTCTTTGCATCCTGGGAAGGATCCTTGGGGTGCCCCTAACCACAGCTAACTGCGGTGGAACTGCCTTCTACTTCAGAGCACTCCGCAGTTGTGATGCACTTTTATGTGTTACTCAAATTAAAAGTCTCACGTGAATAGGAATGAAGAAGGGAAGACTGTCCTTCCCTTTTAGGAAATTTAACAATGAAGCCGTGTCTTTGTCTGGAGTCTAACTGAGGGTCAGCAGTTAGCTTTCATCCTCAGGACCACAGGCCTGCACAGTGGGATCCTAACTTTCTCGGGCGTCCCTGACATCCTTCATGCCAACTGCTATCACGAGAGGGTGCTCAACGCCACCTCCTCCCTGCAAAGGCCCTCAGTGCCCCTTTAGTAATTTCACTCAAGGGGACACAGTCCTCATGCGGTCTCCTCTTCGTGGCTGGCTTCTCGGTGCCCATGTGTGGAAGAGCAGTGCCTCACGCCATGACTGGTGGTGGGCTGGGTACCTTGTGTTTGCTCCTTGGACCACAGCTGATGCCTCTGCCACTGAGACTGATCTCTTCGCTGGCCCCTTTTGGAGGTTGTGTTCTGCTACTTTTTGCAGCCTTTGTCACTGT